TGAGCCACGTGAAGTACATAAAGTAAAAAAGGTCTTGACCAAAGGCTCAAGCCTACCATTGTGGTTATAAGGACCGGGCTTTGTCAACTGAGTGTAAAAGAACCAACAGAGCTAAGGAATGGACCTCAGAATGCAAGCCGTCCCTGACAATCCTCCACATGCTCTCTGTTCCATTCTGGAAGCTACGAGTTAAATGAAATATGGTAATGTATACAAAAACAGCTAGCACCCAGGATATGGTGAGCTGTCAAAAAGTGCTTATGAGTTTGTTCATGTGTTCTTAAAGCAGTGATGGGACCAGGAACCCAAATATTCAGAGGCAGTAGGATGAAATGGTTAAGATCACTCTGGAACCAAATCCTGGTTCCCACAACTACAAACTGTGTGGAGCCTTAGACAACTTACTTGACTCTCCCGTGCCTCAGTGTTCTCATCTGAAAAGGAGGATAACAGTGCCTATCTCATAGGATTGTTGTGAGGATTAAGTGAGTTGTGTGTAAGAGCACAGAAGGTACCTGGCACACAGTAAGGACTCTGTAGCTGTTCATGCTCAAGGGTTCTTCATGTGTCATAATTGTTCCACATCTCAGATTCAACCAGTCCATTACAGTAGCATCTATGTACCAATATTCACAAGTATTTTCTTTCAAATATTTCAAAACTGAGAAATGGTTGATTACTTAGGATAATTAAGTGTCATTTTTAGTCTCTTCCATTCTTCTGGGTTTCTCCCCAAATACAGTCAGACCAAAAGCCACTAGTCTCTGGCGACATCCTGGAAAAGTTAGCAATTCACTGTGAGAATGGGGCCAGGAAAAGTGACAGGCGAGGTGTGTATGGAAAATCACACACTGACCATGTGGAGATGCCAGGGTGCTGCAAAGGCTGTGATACACAGGAAGGCGCTGGTTCCTTGTGACCTGAAGCAGGTCCCTTAACCGGTGGCTCAGAGGTCTCGACTGTAAGAGGAGGATACCACTACCCCACCTGCTCTGACCCCTGACCGGGCAGCAAGGAGGGGTAAATGAGCCCAAACCTATGAAGCATCCTTGTAACTCTTTTGTAAGCCCTTGTGCACTGGGCAAAAGTTAGGGAGTATCTGAATCTATTTATGGTATCTCAGTTTCTACAATAGCTTTTTACATTTCTGAAACTTTTCAAAGTCTGAAACTCCATTCCTGCCAACAGGCAGGGCCCCAGCAAGTACCTTTTATGAGAGCTGATGAGAACCCTATTTTCTTTAAGAAACGGAAGAGTAGGCATTCTTTTGACAACTCTCAAAAATAGCTCAGTCGGTTCAATAAAATCATCTTTGAAAACAGAAAAAGAGAGCTCGTCATCACTCTGTACCTAATAAGCCCAATAGGCTGCTGCGACAGCAAAGGCTTTCCATAAAGGGAGAGCGGATGGCCTGGGATGCTGGTGGGTCTGATGGAGACCTGCTATTCTGAGCTCCGGCACCCGCTTTGTGTTTCCGCTACCGCTTCCCTCCCGTCTGTTTCTACACTTTACAAAAGGGCTTAGAAGCTGTATTTCTGGCCCAGGGACTCTGCCAGCCACTGCTGGGTTCTGACCAGATTAGGCCCAAGGATCGGCGGGTGACCGGGCCCACACAATGCCCGGAGGGAGACGCCAAGCCCGCTCCAGCTCCAGCAGACTGGCTGTCACTCGGGCATCCGGCCCTGCCAAGGGCTCTGTTTGTCAGTCAAGAGCTCTCCTTCTCAGCCCTTCTTTCCACCTCATAACCCAGGGCTTCCATGCAAGGGACAAGGGGGCCTTACTAGAGGCTGGGAGGGGAGGGAAACAAACAGCCCTGAAGAGGAGGCGAACAGAGGATGCTGGGAATCACCTCCAAATGCTCTCCCCCGGGCTGCCACCCTCCAGGTCTCCCTGCGGAGCTGGGGTTGCTGGCTTCCGCTTTGGAAAGTGGGGACTGGGCAGTTGTTGGCCATGTTGGGAGCAGACCGAGAGACCTGCAGCAAGCCCATGAGCCAGGCGGCACAGTCAGCCTGGCTCCTTCTACTCGGTTCTACCCTGACCAGCATAGCTATGTGGTGAGATCCAAGGGCTGCTGCCAATTACGCTTTCTGAACACACCACAGGCATACTTTCCCCAGGCTGTTTGGTTTGTCCCCTTCTCCACCCCCGCCCAGATCTAGTGTGCAGCTCAACCCGTCTAAGCAGGAGGAGCAACGTGGGAGCCGTAGGGCGGCAGTCAGTCTCACCACCCTGTCTACCCACGGTGAGAAGACACCCTTCTCTTTCCCACCTATGCAGGTGGGATCCACACCAACTAGGGCTGAAGGCCAAATACAAAACCACAACAGGCCTCACTTCAGCCAGTGTCTTGGCTACTTACATTTACAAAGTCCCAAATATCGCTCACCTCCATTGTGACCCTGTGGTCACAGCCAGATTTACCGCCATAACTTCAGACACAGACTATCTCTTGCTGGGATCCATCGAGGCCATCCAGTCTGGAATTCCCTGTCCTCCTGTGTTCCTATCACCTACTCCCAGGTCTGGGCAGCGGTGCAATGGTCTCCCTCCAAGCAACTGTGAGCACCACAAGTCTTGACAGAGCTCTGAAGGCTACCAGCCTCGTGTGTCCTGGGCTGTGCACACAGCAGATATTTAACCCGAGTCTGCTGGTCATTCCCCAAAGCAAAACACGGGGAAAGAAGGTTGTCTGAGATAAACACGCAGCAATGACCTACTTGCCTTCAGGGCCCTTCAGCATTTGCGAAGGACTCAAAACATCTGATTTTGCTATGTAGACTTGGGACTCAGACACTGATTTCCACTAAGGATCAGGCAGGGTGGCAGCAACCTTGAACACTAAATCATCCAGGCCTCAAGTGGCATGAGCTGACCCAAGAAATGGAAGAGGGTGCATGCCAACACGAAGATGGTTCGGCAGTGTGGCCAGACTCCAAACCAGGGCTGGGCTACTTCCCTGGACGCCAGCCAAAACAATGACAAAGTGGATTGTTCCGATACCCACTAAGGTGTGCCCTTGCCGATCTTGGCTGCTCTGCCAGTTACAATATCACAGCAGTAATAGCTGCAATTAACTAAGTGCCTACCATGCGCCAAGCAGGTTACACACGCCAGCATATGTTCCCTAAGAGGCAGAAGAGCCTGGAGAGAGGGCAAAGGCTTTGAAGTCAGATAGCCCAAGCTCTGTACTTATCCGAGACTCTCTTAGCACCAACGGTGTGCCATGTTCCATGCCATACTGAGGATGTCATAAGGAGTGGGGATAGCCCCTGTTCTCCCAGGGTTCATAGCTTGTGGAAGAAAAAAGATGGAAAGAGAGGCCACCAAACAATGAAAGAAAGGCCACACTGGGGTCATTAAACTCAGTTCTGGCCTCAGGACATCAGCGTGAATCTTAAACCAGGCTAGCCATATTATTTTGTGCAAATTACTTAAATCCCCTAAGCCCTGGTTTCTTCTTCTGTAACATGGGTCTTTCTAATCCCTGTTACAGAAGAAGATCGAGACCTGCCTGGGCAACTTGGTGAGACCTCATCTCTACAATAAATCAAAAAATTAGCCGGGCGTGGTAGCGCGCGCCTGTAGTTCCAGCTACTCGGAAGGCTGAGGCGGAAGGATCGCCGGAGCCCAGCAGGTCAAGGCTGCGGTGGCTGGGAGCAGCCGCTGCACTCCAGTCTGGGTGACAGAGTGAGACTCCAGCTCAAAAAAAAAAAAAGGTCCATTCTTGCCAGGCTCAGTGGCTCAGCCTGTAATCCCGCGCCTCGGGAGGCTGAGGTGAGTGGATTGCTTGAGACAACGGGTTCGAGACCCACCTGGGCAGCGAGACCTCATCTCTACAATAAATTAAAAAATCAGCCGGGTGTGGTAGCGCATGCCTGTAATTCCGGCTACTCGGAAGACTGAGGCAGAAGGATCACCAGAGCCCAGCAGGTCGAGGCTGAGGTGGCCGGGAGCAGCCACTGCACTTCAGTCTGGGTGACAGAGTGAGACTCCAACTCAAAAAAAAAGAGACCCATGTCACAGGGATCTGTGAAGACAAAATATGCAATCTATATAAAGTGCTTACCTGGGGGTAAATAGAAATAAATGATGATGAACACTCTTTTAGTTAACTACAACATAATGAGATTTTATGCATAGATTTAAAGTATGACATCCCAATTGATTTTTAACTTTTTCTCAGGCATACGTTTTCAAGATACTCAACTCTTACACATTGGGAGTCTCTAAGTGCACCCGATTCTTCTTTGAGTCAGGGTCTCAATAGGTCACCCAGGCAGTGGTACCACCACAGCTCACCACAGCCTAACCTCCTGGGCTCGGGTGACCCTTCTGCCTCAGCCTCCCAAGCAGCTGGGACTACAGCCATGCACCACTATACTTGTCTAGTATTTTAAGATTTTTTTGTAGAGACAAGGTCTCGCTATGCTGCCTAGGCTGGTCTCAAACTCTTGAGCTCAAGGAATCATCCTGCCTCAGCCTCCCAAAGTGCTGGGATTATAGGTGTGAGCCACCATGCCCAGCTTGCACTTGATTCTTTACCGGAGGGCCATTAGGGTGACCATAAAATTTATTGCTCAAACAGAACACTTCTGAGAGTGGAAAAAAAAAAAAGAAACTAGTAATTCCACTGGGACATCAGGGTAAATCAGATGTTCCATCTGGGGCAAAATGGAATTGCTGAGCCCCTTACCCATCATCCAAAGGCCAACTTCAGGGCCAAAGTAGGCAGCTATCACTCTGCATATCCTTCCTCCACCACTTTTGGGAGCCGCCAACAATTCTGAGAACAGACCCGGCAAAACCCCAGCCTGGATGACAGCCAGCAATGAAGTCCAGAAACACACACGCCTCCCTGCCCTCACGCAGCTCCTCCAGGAGAGAAAAGAGTCAAACCCCGGTGCTAGCACTTGGCATCCGCCACCGCCCCTCACGTGCCGAAGAGCAGCTGTCTTCCAGCAGGGCATCCGTTGTCCCTTCTGCCTCCTGCTTCCCCTTACCTCAGGTGTCCCAAGCTGTAGAACCGGGACTCGCCGTCGGAGGAGCGGACCACTTGCAGCGTGAACACGGGCTGCAGCTGCCTGAGCTCCAGCAGGACGATGGCCAGGTAATGGATGAAGAGGAGGGCGTCCACGAGGGAGACCGCATACTGCACGATGCCCTGGTAATTTCGCTCCCGAGAGTCCAAGATGCGGACCCCATAGAAAAGCCAATAGGAAACCACAAAGAGGAAGATGAGGACCAGCAACAGGGCACGGAACACAAACACCCGCGGCAAGTCGGCCCTCTGCTTGCGGAAGAAAAGTGCCCAGGTCCCTATCAGTAGAATGAGGAGTTTGAAGGCCACAGAAATGAAAAGTCCCTCACAAATGGTGCCACAAGGCTCCAGCTCATTTCCCCACAGGATCGGGGGCAGCAGGATGAAGGCGATGGGGGTGAGGAAGACTAGCAGTCCAAGGAAGGAGGCGACGGTGAGGCCAAGGTAGCGCCTGCAATCCAGCCCCACGCTGTCCTCCATGTCCTTGCTGATTCTGGCAATGTCCTCTTGGGATATGCTGTGCTCTGAGGTGCCTGTGATGGCCGTGGTGGTCTCTCCCCAGTTGTCATCCTGATGGGGAGAAGACAGCGAGAATGACAAGCCTTCCAAAGCAGGTCATGTGTAAAAGCTACCGAAGTGGGCAGTGAACATGGAGGGCCTTATTTAACCAACCCCACTCACAAAGGCTTCTCGGAAAAGGAAGCTTTACGCTTTAAAAATAATAGAATTTTTTAACCAGAGGAGTTTTCACTGAAATGTTCAAAATGCATCATTTTCCAACAGAGAAAACATAATTTAATCTTTGTGTCTGTCCGAGCAAGTCATAAATATAACACGGATTATCATGCTCCGTGTTGGAAGATCCAGGAGGGCTCTGGCGGTCTGGGGCTGTTTGCCCTCCACTGAACAATCCAGGTGTCAGAGTACTCTTACGAGAGTTGACCTAGAGAAGAAAACTCCTTGAATTTTCTTTCCAATTCGTGCTGGGTTATAAAGGCTTCCAAAGCCCAACTTCTGGAATTGGACGTGTTATTACATCCTTCAGAGCGCTAAAAAGCAAAAAAGCCATAGCGAGAGAATTTTAAACTTCCAGGCAGTGGCTAGTTAGAGCAACGAGTCTATTCAATTAACAAGATCCAGTTGTTAGGATTTGAAGTTATTTTGCTGTTTTACCGACAACCTTGACTGAACAACAGCAGAGCAAAGCACTGAAAAGCCACCTGGGGCCAAAGAGGTTTGCCTCAGAGATTCCTATGTATGATCTCCCTTAAAATTAAAAAAGAAGAAGAAAAAACAAAAAGTCACGTGTGGTGGCAAAGTGTATGAAATTAGGACACCAACTTACAAAAACCTCATTTGAGTTAACAGCTGAATCAGCAAGACAGAGATCACTCATAACCAAATCTAGTAATGATCAAAACTACGATGTATAAAATGCACGGGTTACAGTAAGAAGTGGTGGGGAAGGTCTCAACCTATGAACAAACAGTCCTTCAACTTGGAGAGCAGGAAGCATCACATTCGGTGAGAGAAACTGCTGTTGAACACAAAAGCCAGGAGCAGCCAGGACTCTCCAATATTCCTGGTGAAAGTGTACACAGTACATACAGCACCTTGGGAAAACTGGTCAGGTTGTTTCACATATATTTATATATACACTTAACTATGTGGCCCAGCAATTCCATTCCAGGTTTTACACCAAATAAGAGGAAACAGCTTCACTCATAACAGCCAAAATGGTGCAACCCAAAAGACCAGCCACCAGGAGAATAGATAACAAACTATGGTCGATTCATACAATGGAATACTACCCAGCAAAAACTAAAAAAAGCAGGAGCTGTTGAAACACATATACCAAAACATGGATAAATCTCAAAATCATTACACTGAGTAGGGGAATGAAACATATGATTCTAATTATATTAAATGCCAAAAACTGGCAAACTAATCTCTAGTGATAAAAATCAACACGGTGGTTGCCTTGGGGGTGGGGGCAGGGATTGACCAGTAAGGGCAGAAGAGAATTTCCTAGAGTGATAGACATATTACCCCAGTGTGGGTTACTGAGTGTACTCATCCATGAAAATTCATCAAACTGTACACTCAAGATCTGTTCAATTCTCTGTTCTCACTAAGAGTGTTACAAAGTAAGTTGTTTTCTGTAGTCTTTGAACTTACCTTATATGAAAGCAAATTGGGTATCTTTTAATTTATGGCTTTTTCTTCCCTTGCTGATGTATTGTTTTCTTTTTAAAATAACCGACCTCAATTTACACAGAGAGATGTGAACAGATTTCTTTTATAAATATTGGATTCCATGTTTCATACTGGGTCTAGTGATTCAGATAGTCAGTGCTGAAATAATTATTACTGGTGCTCATATTTTGTTGACCACCACACTGCTCTGATTCAGCTACTCACCCTTTTTCCAAAGACTTGCTAACTATATTGCCTGTCCAAAAAAATGCAGATGTACAGAGGGTCCTTTCAAGCTTGAGGTTCTCAGAACGTAGGACCTTAGATCCTCTAAGCTAATCCTCTTCGTTTTCAATGAAGAAACTGAGGCTACAATGGTTGTGACTGCTCCAGGTAGCAGAGTTACTAAGAAATACAGCCTCTAAATGCCCACTTTGAGGCTTTCCCCACTAGATCATCCTGGTGTAAACACCAACAGCTTCCCATCATAGCCCTCAGTGAGCTACAAGGGGTAGAAGAACTGGTCACAAAGCGATGCCTTCGTGGGAGGCCACTAGCACCTCCGGATCCATCTAGGAGGAATCGACCCCTCGAGCACTTCAGGGTGATACAGTCCTAGGACTGGCCCCAGTCAACCATCCATCCATCCACCCTCCCAGAGCCAAGGCAGGCAGTACGACAGCACTAAAGGTGCTTGCCCAGCACAGAAGAAGCATCCCCTTCAACCCACAACTGTAGCTTTGAGTCCCAAGAACACCTCGTGTGCTCTGAGGAATTCTGGTTCAGTCCATCCTCCTGATTACACATGCCTATCTGCAGATGTGTGCAGATTGATGCTTATCTACAGTCCTATATCTTTACAGCTGTGTATGCATACACTGCTTTGTTTGTGTGGGGCAAGGCTAGACGTGCATACATTTCAGGATGTGCGGAGAGGATGCAAATGTGTTTCTGTGTATGCCTCAGAAGTGGGCTGCCAGAGGAACCCACTCAATGTCTTTAAAAAAAAAACCCCCAATACTTCAAAGTTATGTGACATTAGGATTTCACATAAAATCCTAATCCCCAGCTTTCTTGAATACGGCAAGATCCAGAGCCACTGAATCCCTGCATTCCTGAGCAGCAATACGTGTCTGGAGCACAGAAGCTGCTGCTCTCTTGACATGGGAAATGCCTTCTCCAGTTTGCTACAGACTCCTCCGTTCCATCCCGGGCACTGATGCCGAGGTACCGCACAGATTGCTATGAGTCCCCAAGCTTGCTGGAACTATGTTTGCCTTTTCTTTTTGCCCCAGAGCCTCCTTAATTAATCTGTTTCCCTCCCAGGCATCTGAGTGTGCAGCCCCTGATTTACTGCACAGACTGGTAGTAACAGTCCGTCTGGGCTGTCCCAACTTTTTCCTCCTCTTTCCAGCACTGCATAGGCTTTCTGGAGAGGGAGTTTCCTTTCCTCTCTTATACTGTTCCACTTTGGAATGAGTCTCGGGAGACTCCAGCCTGTAACTTTTCCCTCCCCTGCCCTGTCATCAGCCTTGCTGGCTTCTTTTCAACACCATGCAAAGCGGGCCAACCAATCACACTTCAGAAGAATCCCCAAGCTACGAAATGGCAGGACAGGCTGTCCTTAGACCAACAAGAGACCACGGGACATAGATAAACTAATTAACATGCTAGGAAAATAAAGATAAAAACCCAAGAGAACCTATTTCAACAAGACTTAGAAAAACATTTTCAGAAAGGCATCTTGGTCAAGTGGCAGTGTGCTTGCAGACTGCCTTTGATCCTTACCTGTACTTCCTCTGCCCGAGTGGAATCATTTGCCAACAAGGGCTCTCCGGTGGGAGCTTGAATGGTGACAGATTTTTCTGACCCTCTGCCATCTTTATTCCGGGGTGATTTGTGTCTCTCTCTAGTTCTCTCCCTGAAAAATAACAACCAGCTAGCACGTTTATGCCACGTCAATTAACTCTGAGTTCATCAAAATGTTATAAATTTCACTTAGGAAAATTCTACACACAGGGGTGTGCATATACACACAGACATACACAAATACACACACACACACAGCACCAATACTTACTTACCCAACCCTGTTCCCCTTCAAGAAGCTGATCTTTGCTCCCTACTTAATATTTTATTTCTGCCATTCCAAGACCCAAAACAAGGACTGTCATTCCTCCTCTATCAACAGTGACCATATTTTTGCAAAGCCTAAAATTGCAAGTTTAGAATTTCTATAGCTAAGGCCCATTTGGTTGTAATAATTACTCACTTGATTTGGTTATAATTTGCCTAATCCAATTTCCTAGGACCTTTTCCTTTTATCGGGAGAACTCTGTAGAATACCCAAGCTTTGGACTGTCCAAAAAAATCTGAGACACATCGTCACCCTATCCCTTTAGACAAGAGAAGAAAGGAAATTCTAACCAGTACAGAGAATCATTTGCTTTTCATTCTTATAAATTCAAAACTAAAAAGTCATTCCCCTAGTTCTAGCTCAACTTGAAGACACCAAAGAAACAAACAAGCCAGCACAAAAGATCTCAAGAGGTGTGGAGGGTGTGTGTGTTTACATGTGCATGGGGGTGGTGGGGTGGGTTTCAGGCATCCTAAGGAAAGGCATCATTTTACCCCAGAGGAACTTCCTGGGTGGTCTTCCAGGACAACTGTGAGAACACCCTGCCTGAGAGTTAGTCATGAAATTCCAAAGGAACCAATCACCGTGACCAAGCCCAGGTCACAACCTGGTCAATGACCACTTATGGAAGCTGGCATTCCTGCCTCCAGTCTCAACAGCACAACCAGAAGCCTTCACACCAGAGGAGCCCCTCAGGGGCCAAGGGTCAGTCAGTTCCTTTAGCCACCATCCGTACTCCTTCCTGGGACCACTAGCCCTCACTTCCGAGGCCTTCCAGACAGGACAGATACCGCACTGAGCAGGCAGATTTTGGAGACAGACAGTCCCATCTTGGTTCTGCCCCTACTAGAGGTGTGATCTTGTACCAGTTATTCAGTCTCTGAAAACCTCAGTTTCCTTATGTGTGAAATGGGGGCACTGATAATGTAGGTAGTGCTTAGTACACAAGCGTGGAGTTAAGTGCTAATACACGGTACCTGTTATTACCACTACCATTACCATTACCACTGGCAATGGGAATGAATGGTGTCTTGACTTAGTGAAGCCAGTAGTGTGTCTTGGAGAAAGAAATGTAAATGGAATTATTAACACACAATGTATCTCTTATTAACCTACTACTTAGATTAGACCAAAAAAAAAAAAATGCAGATTTCTTGCCAAACTTCTACCTTATCAATACCTCCTGGGGATAAGTACCAACTAATTCCTTCAAAGAGCCAGGAGGCTCCCGTGGCCCCAAAGAACTTTTCAGTGACAACACTACCCCTAGAGCATAACTTATAATTATAATCTATTGCTCAGTGAGACCTCAGAAATAGATGTGCTCTGGACAACTCAGGTGTTTTGTTCTAACAAGACAGGTAGGGGAACAGCCATGCATATCCAGAGATGTATCTAACAATGCCCATCACCCCACACCCCATCCCAGTTGACAGGGCACTTTGCTAAGTGCTTCACTATGTTAATTTTGTCCGATCCTAACAATAACCCTGTGAGGCCAGGATTATTGCTCCCATTTTACAGATGAGGAAACGGAGGTTCATACAGTCTAGGTGACTTCCCAAAGTTGCAGTAAGTGGCAGACCCGGAGCCAGGTCTGATGCCATCACTTCCATTCAAACCCACGATGCTGTGCTACAGTGAAGGGGAGCTAGAATTGGCTCCTTTTGAAATTCACAACAGAAATATTCCTAACGCCCGTCCTCACCCCCTTATCCTGGACAAACTACCAGAGCTATGTAATATGCCTTTGAAGCTACTGCTAGGAGTCACGATTGGACCGTGACCTCGGATATCACTGTCCGACCCTCTGGGATGTCAAATACAATCGATCACTTCAAAAGGCACTCACTGTGAGAGACCATATATAATTTGGGGGAGATTTCCCACATGCTTGGTCAGTGTTCAGAGCAAGTGTCGGACCAAGTCTACAACTGGGGCTCCACTGGGCCCCACCTTCGCTCAGATGGACGAGGCCCCTCTTAGAATTTAATCCGTCCGTTTCCACTTTCCCCAATTGCTCTCCCATTTATCACTCTCTCGGTCACCAGCCAAGTCACATGCTCACCTAACCCATCTATCTATTCATGGGTCCCATGGGTCAAATCCTGTGACAGCACAAATTCCACTAGAAGTCAAAATTCTTTCACTGAGTGCCAATTCCTAGAGCCTGAACCCAATCGGGACAGAAAGCAGGCAGGGAAGCAGCCAGGGCTGGGAACAGCCTCTGTCACCAGCCATGAATCCCACCTCCAGCCCTTCCAGCCTGGCTCCCAAAGGGCCCAGCAGCACCCAAATGCTAAACAACTGTCTCACAAGTCCCCTGGTAATATCCCAGGTAAGCTAGATAAGAAAACCCAAGTAAGGTTTCTTATCTTCCAGAGCCTGAAACCCTAAACCAGTGCATCTTAGAACTTTAAAACTTCTTAAACTTTAAGAAGTGTGCAGAAAAACCACCTTGGGTGCGAACTCAAGTGAAGACTTGGCGGCCCCATCCTCAAAGAGTCTGTCTGGAAGGGAAACAACAGGAATTGGCATCTTCCTTTTTGTCAGTACCCCAGGAGAGCAGGACTCAGGCGGTCCAGGTAACTTCTCCCAAGATTTTCCTACCCAAATGCTCCTGGGGAAGAAGGCTATTGGAACGATGGCCTGAAATGTCCTGTTTACAGCAGGGGCTCAATAATGGGAGCCATGAGTGTAACGCTCAGCTGTACAGTGTGTCAACACACAGTGCTTCTTTATTACAATTGTATCAAGCGGGACGAAGTTGGAAGACAGGCTCAGAACAGCCTGCAGTCATGACTGAGGGATGCCTGGAGCCGAGAGCCTTCTGTCCACTGCCAAGTGCCAGGTAAAGGCACGACAGGCCCTGTCAACTCAACACTAGCACTGTGTCAGGTACTAATGATCAAGGGAGCAAGACTGGTCATATGGCTATTACAAGAAAAACTTCATTAGAAAATCAGAAAAATGTTATCTAAAATGACTGGTCCTGAATTACTGCTCCAGGAGGGTCTTAGAGTCAAGCTGGGACTTAATAGTGACACACAACAAAACTCCTGCCAACCAGTGCTTTCCAGGATGTGGAACCGTGAGTCACAGTGTAGTGTCCTGACTATATGTACTTAGACACTCGCCCCTGGAGCTCCAGGTGTTGTGACTTCAGGGAAAACCTGCGGCTGCCAAGCACCGTCATCTGGAAGAGGGGTCCCTCATGGAGAAGACAACCCATACACAGGGTCTAAGAGTATAGAAATAAGGGGCCAAGAGGTAAACAGGCTACCAAGCCACAGAGCGGGGCACTATAAACACGTACACCTGCATGTTTTTCCATCTCTGCCTAACTGGTCTCAGTCACTTGTGTGTCTTTGCTGGGCAGCTGTGTCAGCCCCGAGAATCTTTCTTGGCATCTTTATCTCTGAATCTGTCTCCAGGCAACATCTGCCTGTATGAGGAAAGATAAGGAAATTTGCGCGTGTGAGAGCATGTGTGAGGGGGAGGGGAGAGCAAGCCTCGGCATGCAGGAGCCCGGGCATGTGTCTGTCCTGTGTGCGCACAGACACATCCATTGAGGTGATTCTAGAGCTGAGCCCTTGGGGGCTGCTGTGACCCCCTCGTCCAGCCAGAATCCCTCGAACTCCCACGCTGTTCTCACCTAGGGTCAGCGTTTCCTGAGAAGACTGTTGAGTCCCGTTTCTGTTGTTTGTCTATTTCTATTTGGGGAAAGCTGGCCCCACCGGTGACTCCTCCCTTTCCTCCGTTCCCACCACCCACAGCCCGTCCTTTCTCTGCCGACGGCCGGGACCTGGATGCCTGCTTCCTCTCGGCTCTGACAGGGTGTGGGGAGGGCTGGCAAGGGCAGGCAGACTCTGAGGCAGCCCGGAACAAAAGCACAAATCCGTCCGCTGCCCCGGCAGCCTTCTTTCTGTGCATTTTAGCACATGAGTCATGCGAGGCACCCTTCCTTTCTATTTTTTTTAATTTTTATCATCTATTTATTTATTGAGACAGAGTCTCACTCTGCCGCCCACGCTGGAGTGTAGTGGCACAATCACGGCTTACCACAGCCTCGACCTCCTGGGCTCAGGCGATCCTTCGGCCTCAGCCTCCTAAGAAGTTGGGACTACAGATGCACACCACTGTGCCCAGCTAATGTATTTACTTTTTGGGGAGATGAAGTCTCGTTGTATCACCCAGGCTGGTCTCAAACTCTTGAGTTCAAGCAGCCCTCCAGCCTCAGTCTCCCAAAGTGCCGGGATTGCAGGTGTGAGCCATCGCGTCCAGCCTCATTTTTTTTTTTACAAGCAGCATTTCCCTTCCAAAGAAACAACAACTTGGGCCCCAAACCTGCCAGGGACGCCATCTAACTTTGTAACTTTAGGCGAATAATGCTGCCTCTCTGGGCCTCAGTTACACTGCCTGAAAAATGGGGCTACCACCTCCCACCACTCCAGGACTGCTGCAAAGGCAGGCGATAACAACTGTGAGGGGCCCTGCAGACACTCCCAAGGTGGACGTGACCGCGCCTGGCAGTTGCTGTATTTGAACGAGGGACCTTTGCTCCAAGCCCAAAGGTCAGTTGAGGTCGGTGGGAGTCTGCACCGCTTTCCAGCAAGTTAACTGGACACCGTCTGGGGACAGCAGGCATCACAAAACCAGGCCACTGACCTCTGTGTTAGAAAAGAGTCGCTTGTCATCTGCTTGGAACCTGGCCAGTCCTCCAAGACGATCATGGCGTCATCGGGCGTATCAAATGTGGCGTGCTCCATTATTCCTCCCAGAGTTGGAGTTCTACTAACATTCCCAAAAGGCAAGCTTCCCGCCCCCCTTTCTTACTCTTGCATTCAAGTCCCCAACAAATCTGTCAGCAGCACAGCCTCACAGGGACACTCGTGGGATGCAATACCCTTGTGGCTGGGTCTGCGGCCCGCTGGCATGCCTGTGGGGGACACGGTGACTGCTTAACATTTTTTATGCCCTAGCGAAGTCCTCCACGACACAGACGGTCTAGGGTGGGCTCCAAATCTGACCTGTGCCCCACAGTCGCTCTACCCTACATTGGCCGTGAGTCAGAGAATTCCCCACTCCCAGGTGGTGCTTCTTAACAAGCCCACTGAATGCACCTCCAAAGCTCTCAGGCTTGCCCCCTCACTCGGGGCTTTTCTCAGGGTCGGTGTTCATTCAGTAACATTCCTCGATTAACGGATTAAAAATCTCAGCTTGTAGTAACATCTGCTGAGCACCTTCTACATGGGTCTAGGAATGCGTGGAGATTTCCGCATGTTGTTGGTTGAGAGCTATCGTCTCTTAAAGTTACCACGAGGGCATTGGCGTATTCATTTCTGGGGGCCCCAAGAGGCCTCGGGAAACAGCAGAGAGTAGCAGCGGGCCCTGAAGCGTGCAAGTCGAGACTCAGGTGTAGACCCAAGAGGCCAGAGATGGTTTCTAGGCAGAACCCAGCCTGCCTCCCCTCTTCACCCCCAAGCACCAAGAAAACCCCAAACGCCTACTTGTGTCGTTGTGGTGTGGGTGAGGGGAGCCTGGCACACCGACATGGGAACTGCTTTCTCCAGTTAGGTCTAATGATTTGGCGTTTCAAGACAGCTGCTTCTGGTAGTTTATCACCAAATCGGCCAGGTTTCCCACGGGTTGAAATGTATGATTAAATTCCAAGCACCTGAGGGTTTCTGGCTTTCTCAGGCCTGACTGCAGGCCCCGCCCAGGAGACCCGGCACCCTCTATTTCCCATCCCGATGAGAAAGGCTTACCCACGCTCCAGCACACACTCATACACTCTACAATGCAGAGTCTACATCCTTTCCCCAAGTTTTTGTGATAGTAAGAGTCACAGCCGGGCTTGGTGGCTCAGCCTGTAATCCCGTGCTTTGGGAGGCTGAGGTGAGTGGATTGCCTGAGCCCGTAGGTTCGAGACCCGCCTGGGCAACTTGGCGAGACCTCATCTCTACAATAAATCAAAAAACTAGCCGGGCATGTTCCAGCTACTTGGAAGGCTGAGGCGGAAGGATCGCCAGAGCCCAGCAGGTCAAGGCTGCAGTGGCCGGGAGCGGCCACTGCACTCCAGTCTGGGCGACTGAGTGAGACTCCAACTCAAAAAAATAAAAAAACAAAATAAAAAAGAGTCACGCATAAACACTTAGGAAATAACAAAAGTTAAAAATGCCAACCATCATATACTCAGAGACAAGCTTGGTCAGTACATTCATACTACCTTATCACATGTATATATAGCACGTACAAATACATTTTGTAAGGTACAAAAATCTTGAATCCTGTTTTTATAACATGGCCTCATGAACACTTTGTCATGTAATAATCTTTGAAAACCTTCACACTTACTCCTGATTCATTTTTTTTAAAATGACAAAATACACACTTGTAAAAAACTGAATGAGAACAGAAAGATAAAGCATAAATGAAAATCTCCGGCCTCCAGCTTCTGCTGAGGCCCCTCCCTGAGGACGTCCACTGCTGGCAGCTGGGAGAACACTCTCTGTGTGCACCTCACACAGGCTTGTAAATAAATAAATACATTAGGTGTATACATATCTCACTGCTGTTTTACAAAACAAAATCCCACTCTGCATTCAACTGCCTGTGTAGGGAACAGCTCCTTCAGAGAAACACCACTACAATCCCTGATCCCAAGCTGGTGCAGAGCTAGGCATTTCGGCTGGGGCCAGGTGGTACCTCAGAACAAAGTGCTCAGTGCCAAGACGCTTTCAGTATTAGTACAGCCACTGGTTGTCCTATCACTCACCATGTGAGGTGCTTTGCGTGGATAATCTCATTTAATCCTCTCAACGGTCCCGTAAGGAGGACACCATTGTACCCATTTCACAGATGAGAAGGCTAGGTAAATACACCACTGCAATTTCACCAACTATATTCCTAACCGGTCCAGTACCCCCTATTTATTCATTTATCTCCTCATTCGTCCCCTCGTTCCTCTACTCAGAAAACATTTTGCAGGCCAGTAACACAGCAAGCCCTAAGAATACCAGTGTGGACCTGTTTATTTTACAGAGGAGGGGGAATTTGGCCCCCCTTAACCAGGACAGTGTTCTTAAAACCCAGGCTTGGTCACCTGAAGATGTGTGAAAGAGAAACACGGCCCTAGACCAATCCCACCAGTTCAGCGTATAAGCCTCATCGCCAAGGCATAACAAACAATGGATCAACAACTTTGGGTGGAAAGCAACAACAAATGAACACTTTTTAAAAACTTGCATGTACATTCTTGGTAGAGCTTTGAGAGACTTGACTTCTATGAGAAATACTTAGAAAGAGAAAACATTTCCACTGCAGGGAGAAACTTTAATTTAAAATCAGTTGTGACAAATTAAGGTCATCAACTCGAATGACGGCTATAAAATGTAAATTGGTAGCACAGAGGCTCCTAAGCCTGTTAAATGCCCTGACCTTTTAGCTCAGTTTCTCATGCACCAATGGACCCAACCCATGCCCAGTCACTGTGTGAAAAGTAACTCCTGAAACCCCACCAACCTGCAGGCTGCCCCAAAAGGAAAAGCAAGATACTGAGCAGCTTCCATACATACCCTTGTCTGTGAGATTTTTTGGAATGACTTGAGTAGTAAGAGTATCCAGAATATGTGGATTCGGTATCCATAGCAATGGAGAGCTTGCGCTTGAGGAAGGAGCAGATCCTGTTTCTCCTTCGAGGTGGAGAACGTCACCCACCAGACTCCTAAAACCTCCCTGAGATGGGGAGTCAGGGAGGAGTCACTCTTTAGCAGGAACAAATTCTGGGAAAAGGGGAAAAAAATATTAATCTTCAAAGCCATTTTTCATGACGCAGAAAGGGTAAGGGATGACAGCTGCAACCTCCTCTCTGGGGTCTCCCTCTGTAATGGAACAAGGGAGTAAGGATGCTGCACTTGAACTCCAGAAGTTCCACGCAGGCAACAGCAAGCTTCCCCAAGTGTCCGGGAGCGGGACGATGTGAGTGCTGAGCAAGCCGAACCCCCAACACGGCAGCAGGAAAACAGGAGGCCCTTGTCCATTTCCTGAGCCCGGCCTTGCCCTCGCTCCCTGGCTTGGGGCTGTAGAAAGTGACTCCCTAGACACAGTGCCCAGCCCCCATGGACAGTTTGCTGGTTATAAAAACAATACCCAGATAGCTGGGGATGGTAGTGTGCGCCTGTAGTTCTGGCTACTTGGAAGGCTGAAGCAGAAGGATCGCCGGAGCCCAGCAGGTCAAGGCTGCAGTGGCCAGGAGCGTGCCACTGCACTCCATCCAGTCTGGGCGACAGAGTGAGACTCCAACTCAAAAAAAAATAACAATACCCAGAAAAGTCGCTTTTAAGAGATTCTGTCACAATTTCCAGAAGACAATTAAAAAAAAAAATTCTCCATGTCTTTAATCCAGGATTCAAACTACTGAGAATTTACCTTAGGGAACTAATCTCTTTTTTAAAGATAAAATTATTACTATCTCATTGTCTATCATTGTAAAATGCTAGGAATAATCTAATTGCCTCCAAAACAGAGGAATCGATAAGGAAAACATGGCTCATCCACCCAAAGAAATATCACAGATATGTTTAAAATAATTAGAAAGAATGGAAACCTTGTGATATAATGATACATTTTTAAAGCAGGGTACAGTATTGTAGACACACAGCGAATCAACATTCCAGTTTCCGTCACACAAAATTGCTTATGTAAGAACAAAGGTAAAAAGGAAACATCAGAAAATGAAAGGTAATTTATTAGCTGCAGGCTCCTGTGTCTTTCCCCACATTTTCATTAGGTATTGCTTTGCAATAAAAATAAATGGGAAACATTTCCAAGTACATTCCTGAACTCCCACGCGCTAAACCTTTACTTCCAGAAAACTGAGATGCACAAGTTCTGTCTCCCCCTGCACCCCTCACCCCAGTAGCTGCTCTCAGCCCAGCAGGGTTCCTTCTCCCAGCACCCATGGAAGCTGGAACTGCAAACACAGCCAGCGAGATAAGCATGAAGAAGAAACAAAGGAGACACGAATGCCATACCCCACCCCTACTGGGAGGAGACGGGTTTTGCTGACCCCAGCAACAACACTGAAGTCTGGAGGGAATCAGGCCGGTACAAATCGCCCGGCCCACCAACACAGCCCCCAGAGCCTCAAGGACCAGTTCAGGAGTGTTTGCCCCTACCATTCATTCCGCCTGGAAGTGAGATGTGTCCATTTCCAAGGTCTACCGGCCAGGGCTGGCCCGGATCTCCTGACTCCTCATTTCACCTCTCCTCTGCCATCAAGAGCCCGAGGCCAGCCATGGGGAAGCCGAGGTTCTAGACTGAGCCCAGCCACTGCCTAGGACAACCTGGCATGAGCCACTTGCACCTTCTCATACCAGTTTCCTCATTTGTTACCCAGGAATCTATCGAACAGCCACTGGCCTCTCAGGGTTGATATGAAACTATCAACAGATGCAGTATCTGGCGATGGGTTCCAATCTCATACTTTATTCACTTACTAGCTGAAGGACCTTAGTCAAATTATGGAACCTCTCCAAACACGCAACTGCAAGATGCCAATATCAGGGCTGCTGTGAAGAGCAAATGAGCTAACAACTGTAACAGTGTCCAGCAGCGACTCTATGAAGGGAACCCTGAAAATACGGAATTTATAAAAACTGTGTATTTATTCTTACATGTTTAAACATCAGTCACCTTCAAAGTACTCTCCATTTGATGCAATACACCTATCGAGATGCTTTTCCCACTGCTCAAAAAGAGTTTTTGGACTTGTCAATTTTGATGCCTTAGTGCCTCTGCTGTTTTTTTGTTCCATCTCTTCCACATAAACCAAATGTTTCCCTTTGAGGACTTATTTTCATCAGAGGAAACAAAAAAAAAGTTGCTTGGGGCAAGATGGGGTGAATAGGTTGGGGCGCAGGGGTCATGCCACCATTCAGTCAAAAGCTGCTGAACACGCAGTGTGATGTGGTCAGGTGCATTCGCAAATCACCCATCATGCAATGGGCAAACACGCCGGAAGAATCTCCAAAAAGAAATTCACTGAAGCCAAACGCAGCCTCTCACAACAATGCTAGCTAGTACACTGATGCCAGTGGGTTTCTAGAACACTAACCTAGTGGGTGAAGCCTATCCTACAAGGCGTCCATCCTCCAAAAGAGAATTCCCCCCTTTTTTTTGAGGGCTCCCCCTTGTACATACACTGGGTAAATGAAATTTGGTGGCTATCAGTACCCCCTTGGCCCATTCCAAAACCCCTTATTCTCTTTGTCTTTCTAGTGAGATAAAAGCTTGGAAGGAAGCAGGACAGACAGTCAGTGCCCAGGCTGGCCTTCCTGCCACAGGGCCCACCTGTGACCACTCAGACCTGGGCTCGCATTTCAGGCCACCGCTCACGAGTTGTGCACCTGGTCAAGGCAGCTTTCCTTGGAGCCTCACAGGTTGCCTAACCCAAAAAACGGAAACAAGGCAGCCCATTTTGGGAGGCGACAAGAAAGATTAAATGTGAAGACACACCTGGCAGGCATCTTTAAATGCTGTTTTGCTCATGGACTTCCCCACTGTCCTAGAAGATTTTGCGAGCCAGCTCATCTTTTTTCTTCCTAGTCTGTCTCCCACCATCTTCTCGAGCGAGTCAATGAGCCGTCAACATCCTGGTCTCACTTCCTTTCTGCTCTGGGCTTTGCTGTTTTCTCACCTGCATAGACCTGACAGCCACCGAGGCAGCGGAGGTCTCCAGACCTGCGTGAACCGAGAAACCTCCCTGAAAGCCCCCTACCCAGCTTTCTGCAGATCCCAGATTCCTAATTAACCCTTCACAGCTCCTGCACGTCTTTCCTGCCTTCCAACCCATAATCCCTGATATCTCATTCCACCCCCAGCTTCCATCTAAATGCTGATGGAGTACCTCAGACAGGCCGACCTTAGTGCTTCCTAGCCATGGCAGGGGGGAGTAGGGGGTGGGCAGGAGCTTGCTTCTCAGAGCTCCGCCCCCCACCCCATAAAGTAAGGTCATTGAATATTATCTCCTCCTAGGGTTGTTGTGAGGATTAAATGAGAAGCCCTCCAGGTAATGTCTCTGGCACATGGTAACCCAAGTTTTATTCCCTTTCCCTCTGGCCTCATTAAAACCTCCAGCCATCCATTATGGCGACTCTTTGGCTTGTCCCTCAGAGGAAACCATGGGTTCAAGTGCCCTCTGGGAAAAGGCTTTTCTCTAACTCTACCAACCGTCCTTGTCCAGCTTCCCTCCCACAATTCCTTAGCAAGGGGATGGTCTCTCCATGCTGTCACTCCCTCCCTCTTGACTGTCACCCCAACCCCCTCATCCTCAACACTACTGAAACAACTCTAAGGCAGCTAAGAGATTGCTGTGAGCCAAATCCAAAGATTACATCCCTGACCTCTTCCCCCAGCCCTTCTTCTCCCGTCTATTCATTCTCCCACCTTCATATTTAATGAGCAACTATGAGACCATGCGGAGCAGCGACAGAGGCACACTGCCTGCTCTCGCAGGGCTTCTCTGCTGCCGGCTGGCCTCCCACTTGATGGTGCTTATGCTCCGGTTTCTCCCCCAACGCTCCTTCCCCGCCCCCACCACCAAGTTATCCTTTGACACTCAAAACTCTCCCTCTATTCTTCATCCATGGATTCCCTAGGGTATAAACTTCCTGGAGACAGAAGCTAAGGCTGATCCACCCCCAGGATACCATGAAGACAGCAGGTCCCCAACAGACACTTATTGGAAAATAAATCCCAAATGCGCATTTCCTACTCAGATTCCTCTTGCTCCCCTTGGGGTCACCAACACACACCCTCTCGGGTGCCCTTCGGTATCCCGTCCTGTACTTTCCGATTTCCTCCGTCAAGGCAATGCCATCATCTGGTCAATCCTGTCAATCCCACGGCTACATCTTCGATTCTCTCTCTCCCTTCATCCCACATCCGGCTGTCACTAAATTCCATCTGTCCTGAAGGCTCCTCTCCTCAATCTCCTGGGTCATCACAGTCAAGCACTTCCTCCAGGCTCCAGCAACTCAGGGCTAGACGACTGCAAAGTCTCCGGGTGTCCTTGACTAATCCAGTATGTACGGACCGCAGGCCGCTTCTTCTAAGACCTACCTACCATTTCCACTACAGTCATCAGCTCTTGCTCTAGATAAGATCTGAGCAAAGATTGAGAAGCAACAGGAGGCAGAGAGAACTCCTTTTAAAAGTCTGAGGCAAGGTAAGGGCCTCACTAGACTTCATAGAAAAGCATATCCTAGCCGGGCTCCGTGGCTCAGCCTGTCATCCCGCGCCTTTGGGAGGCTGAGGTGAGTGGATTGCCTGAGCCCGCGGGTTCGAGACCCGCCTGGGCAACTTGACGAGACCTCATCTCTACAATAAATCAAAAATCAGCCAGGCGTGGTAGCACGTGCCTGTAGTTCCAGCTACTTGGAAGGTTGAGGCGGAAGGATCACCGGAGCCCAGCAGGTCGAGGCTGCGGTGGCCGGGAGTGGCCACTGCACTCCAGTCTGGGCGACAGAGTGAGACTCTGACTCAAAAAAAAAAAAAAGAAAAGAAAAGAAAAGCATATCCTGAAGCTCATCCCTGCAATGATACATCCACGAGAGACAGTATCCCTTGCACGCCCAAGAAATGAACAGAACTCATGACTCGTGATAAGGTCAGAAGGAATCCCTCATCAGAAAGATGATAAAGTAAAGGGCCCGGGGTCATAAATGGATAGGCTGCGACACTGGTCTGAATGAGACAGAGTCATCTAAGGGTGCCAATATGGATG